AGGATCTGAACCAAGTGTGCAGGCACAGTGCAATGCCTGCAGGTAGTGTGCGGAACTGTGTGCCTTGAGCTGCACAGGAACAGCGAGCTTTTGTCTGTTAGGAGAGTAACTTCTGGCTGACAAAAATCATCAGCAGAGTCAGAGACGAAGTCAAAGCAGTGGGAAATAGTGAAGAAGAATCTGTCCCGGTGTGTTCAGCATTTGCAGACCCCTACTCTGAGAACCAGGGCAGCCAGCAGGGGACACTCCTGTCCCTTGGCTGGGTGGTGTCACTACTGGCTGCAGCCACTGCTCTCACTGCAGAGAAGTCTAAGCTGTTTGCAGCCAGCACTGCACAGAGTGAGGATTATCCCCTTGTGAGCCTGTATATCACTAGTAGTCATCATACACAGCCTGGTGGAGCCATGGTCTTGTCTGTGAGCAGTTGGGGTTGTGAATAATAAGGTTCAGTCCCAAACAGATTTTTCAGGATAAACAGACTCTGTAGCCACATGGTCCTGCTCAGGCACACTACTGCAATGGATGTGGAGAGCATTCACCCCTGCATCGTGGTGGGATGTTGTATTGCAATAAGGGAGCTGGGATTGTGCTAAGAGACCATCAGTAGCTGAAGAGCAGCACCAACTCCAGGCTGCTTCAGTCTTCTTGTGTCTTCTAATCTGAAGCTGTCATAAAGCACTGCTAGATTTTGTGCTGTGATGTGGCAGCTCTCCATCATCTGTTAATTGACACGAGTTGTTGTTCCTTTCACTAATTTCCCCTTTTTGCAAAGTGACATGATTAAGGTGATTGCAGGAGTGATGTGCCCTTGTTCCAGATCTCTTTATTTTTGGGTGGAGGACAAAGTTTGGAGTGACCATGGTAGCTGCCTGCTACCGGACTGGATGCTGCAGTACTGGGCAGACAGCACATGCTGGTAGCAGAGGCACAGGAGCAGGAAAAGGCAAAGTGCTGCTGAACAGAGCTCCTGTTCCATTAGGCTTCCTGCTCACTGCGTGTGCTCCCAGAGCAGCCAAGGGAAGGGGCTCACAGGCTTATGTGCAAAGCTGGGCAGGCAGCTTGGGAGGGTGCGTTGCCCTCGTGTGCAGCGTGTGCTGCTGGGCTGGCACAGCCAAGGAGCATCCTTCAAGCTCCGTCTAGATCAGCCAGAGCAGCTCCTCCTCCTGTGCACCTCAGCTGCCAGGCACGTTCACTCAATTACTCAAGGTTAATTGCCTTTTTTTGAGGAGAGTGATTTGCACTTGAGGGATGCATTGCATCAGGCTTTTTCCAGAAGCTGCTTTCTGCCAGAGGTGCTCCTGATACTGCTCAGAGCAACTCACCCAGCCCCTGGGTACGCACCCAGCACTTGTCCTCATGCCTGCACCCCTCTGCCAGGTCCTGGGGAAGCACTCTGGATGCCAGCACACCTGGAAGTGACCTCTGTCTGTGTCCCTTTGCTGGACTGAGGCTCACAGGGGAAAGAGGAGCACACACATGAGAGAGGCTCTGTACCAGCATCTCTTCTGCTTTGGAATAGCACTGATTCCCCCTCTCCTCTGGCAGCCGAGCTCCAGTATGAGATGTCTTGAGCACTGCTGCTGGCTCTCACTCCTGCACAGCAGGAGAGCAGCAGCTTCCAGTACAGCAGGCCCTGCTCTGGGATCAGGCATTCCTTAAGCCAGTCTTCCAGCAGCTGGAGGGAGGCTCTGAGCTGGAAGGTTCCAGTCGGCATGGCAAAGCCAGGCGTCAGTGCTGAGTCAGCTCTGCAGCCGTCCTCTGGGGCGATGCGTCCCAACCTGCAAGGCCATGGCTTGGTGGGAGTGTGAGCAAGCCTGCAGGCTGCAGCCCTCTGTGGCTACTGTTAGGAGACTGCAGTAAAATATTACAAGCTTTAATTGGGGCCAGCCTGTGTCATAAAACTGTCTCTGCTAATGGAGATCTCTGTTTTGAGTGGCTTAACTCCCCTTTATGCAGAGGGGCTGAAAGAGTCACAGTTGAATGGAGCAGAGGGTAAAATATATCGTGGCAAAGTTAGAAAACTCCGTTTCTGAGCAAAACACTGTCAGTGTTTTTGCACATTTCCAGCTGGACCCCTCCAAGCAATTTGTGCCAAAGAGAAGGAGAGCATGTGATTCTTCCACCCCCGTGTAGCAGTCAGGGTGAAGTGCTTGGTGTAAGGACAAAACACAGTGATAAATCATGAATATTAGTGCCTGGCCCCTTGCCAGTCACAGACAGCACTCGCAGAGATCTCATCTCAGCCATGAATCTGTTCGTGCAAGCTGCATCTGGAAACACAGCGGTTAGTGTTGCCCACGTTCATCTTTGTCTCAGTGTTGCAGTTAATGCTCAGTTAATGCTTGCTTAAAAAAAAAAAAAAAAAGAAAGAAAGAAAAAGAAGAAGGAAAAGTACTCTGTGCTCTCTGTCTAATTTGTTAGTTTTTCCCTGCAGGGTTCTGCCAGCCCAGCATGCGGACCAGAGCAGGGTGCTGGTGCTCTAGCAGACAGGGATGGGAAAATGGAGGAGACAGGGACTGAGAGTTTCCCCCCGAGCTTAGCTTTCATTCTCAGTTGTGATTAATTGCAGTTAGTGCTCATCTGTAATTTTGGAGAACAATCAGATGACGTGCCTTGTGGTTGGTTTAATTGAAACCCGATGAGCCAGCTGAAGGCTGCTGCGCACTGGGGTGAGCTGTGCTGGAACGCTTCCTGCCACAGCCAGGGCTGGGAATGGTGCCCAGAGCATTCCCCCGGCCCTGCAGCGCTTGGACATCTCCGGCTCCCCTCCCTGTTCAGGCTGAGCTTGTGCCATACCGTGCTGGAGATGTCTTTCTCCTGGTCTCGAGCCACGGGTTTGATAGCTTTGAGGTGAGATCTGGGGGCTCCTGCTCCATCCAGCAGTGCTGTCTTTGCCCCTCACATGAGAACAAGTTGCAAGCTGTGGCTTTGTGACCTGGTCTGGATGTACTTGAGGGCAGTGGTGGTATGGATTTGAGGTTTTGCACTGCTGTGCTATGGACTGCTCGGAAAGTTCATGCTTAGCTCGGGAAAAGCTTTACCAGGGAATTAGATTGGAGTATTTGGGATCCACATCTCATTCCCTGTTTCAGAAATTCTCTGCTCTGCCTATTCATCTGCTCAAATTGTGCTAGCAATTTCTAAGGCAGTTAGGAAGGCTGAGGGAAATTGCTTTCGGGTCGAGACCTGCTTTAGCTTGTGGTGAATTACTATGCCTGGGTTTTAAATCTTTGCAAACAGAGGATTATGGTGGTGGTAAACATGAGGTAGGCCTGGGGATTGCCATTCTGTGGGATGAAGTGAGTGTGGCCTTCCCCTTCAGCAAATAGCAAATGATGAATGGTTAAAAAAGAAAATTGAGATACAACCTGGATTGTAGCTTAGATACTGTTTCTCCTTGATTTATATTTCTGCTTTGATACTTCACAGTCTAGGCAGTATATTTCTTCCTTAACCTCGTGGGCTTTTTCCATCTTAAACGCGGACAGCGTGTTAGATATGGCCAATTGCTGAGAGCTTGGGATTAATGCAGGATTTGCAAAAAATTCAGAGCTGCTGTACAGCCCAGTGTTTGGCTGAAACACAAACATGAAGTGATGAATGCATTTGAGATGGAAGAGTTACATTCCTGTGCTGGAAGACAGCAGTGGATGCCTGGTTGCTCTCATGGTCTCTGGATCTCCAGTCCCAACATTTGCTTTGGAGGTTGAAGACAGAGCCATTTCATGGTGCTGCCAGCAGCACAGTGACAGCAGGCAGCCTGTTCCCCACACAGGGAGGGCAGCGGGTGAAGAACCACATGGTGTGAAGCTACAGCATGGGCAGAGCCACGAGAATCATGGAGGTGTCTGTGCCCTGCTTTCCCAGGGCACCAGCTGCCCTGGCCTGGGGGATGCTCACAGATGGTGCAGACCCACAAGCCTGGTGGGGGGAGGGCGTTTGACATGGTTACACACAGGGTGACATCCTCCTATCTGGAAGTACTTGGCAGGAGGAAGAATGAGGCCTTAATTTTCTGATTACTAGGAAAACAGTGGTGAAAGGCCCATCTGGCCTGCAGAAAGCTGTCGTGGCACCTCTGCATGGTAAGTGGGGCTGAGAAAGGCTGACAGGCTGTAATCCAGTTAGTGCTGAGTGCAGAGCATCCTGACCAAGGTTCTCCTGTCACAACACAGAATTAGCTGTGCTGTTACCTACCACGGTTGCCCTGGCAGCCTGCTCCCGTTACTCTGCACACCTTGCTGCTGCCCTTGGGAATTCCAGGCAGGGCTAAGCTCTGCGGCTCAAAGAGGGACCATGGCTTTGCCCAGGGCTGGGGGAGCCTGTCCAAGGCTCTGACTTCTCACAGCCTTTGCATTTGGTGCATTTCAAGTGGCCTGCTGCAGCCCGTTCCTTAAACCCAGACTCAAGGGCAGACAGTTTTGACAAGGGTGGTGCCTGTGGGGATGCCCATGCCAAACCAGAGGAGCTAACTGTGCAGGTGTCCCTGAGGTGCACTGAGGCTCTCTGACTTAGTGTTGCTGTCTGCCATGGGAATCACTCCAATGCTTTGAGCTGGGGAGGCTGCGTGGGTTGGAGCTGGGAGACACTCATTGGGTTTGTAGCACGAGGTGTGCATGGGATGTGGCGTGGCTGTCTGCAGGAGCACTTCTAGAAAAGGAGACAGTAACTGTTAAAGTTACCTCTTGCTTCTCTCAGTCATGTGGAAAACTGCTTTTCTGGAAAAGAGGAAGGAGTTGGAAGAAGCAGAAGGTCACCAGAAGTGTTTCTGAAGTAAGGCGTACCTACAGTGCGAAGCAGTGAATGCCATCAGAATTTGGCATGGCAGAAGGTTGGTAGCTAGATCTAGAGGTTATGGCTGGATCGTTGCTGCCCTGAATCGGCTGAGTCGGTGCTGAGTTCACCAAATCCTCATCGGGTGCAGTTCATTGCACCACTGTTGGTAATTGCTGGTTAAGGTTTTGTCTCACGTTACTCATTTTTCCTCTTTGTGCTTTCAGAAATAACACAGATCATCCAGGTAGACTTGGACCTGAAGTACAAGGCCAACATCCGCGACCTGTTTGAGGAGTTTGACAACTTCCAGGAAGGAGCTGTCATTGGGATTGCCAGGGAAATGCAGCCAGTGTACAGGTACAGCCGTGTGCCCAGGGCACGAGTGTGGGGAGGGGGGCTTTCACATTTTCCATTTTCTGTTCAACTCTGATCAGTCTTTGGAACTAAATCTGGGGAGAAACAGTCTTTCTGCTGTAATCCCTGCAGGGGAATTTAATTTGAATCTTCCAGGCCAGTCTGAACAAATTGTGCAGTGTGGTGTGATTTCCTTGTTCTCCCACATTGTCACAAGGCTTTCAGAGCCAAGTTCCTGATAACAAGTGTCTAATCCATAAATAGATTCATCACATACCTGTTAGAGGTGTGTTTGGCCAGCCATTCCTGTTCTGGTGCTTTGTCTGAAGCTTGGCACATTAGTCTGTGTGTTTGGAGTCAGAGGTTTGGGTTGTGAGTACTGCTGCCCTGCCCAAGCAGCAGGGACACCTCTTGTTGCAGGCAGACCCAGCACCAGCACCAGTTTCAGCCATACTCTTAGACTTCCACACATGTTTTCCACAAAATACCTGAATTGGCATTTGGGGAATCCCTCTGGTGTGAGGTTTAGGTGGAGCAGCCTGCATTCTTCTGTCATGAACTCCTTTACAATGTTTTGAGCTACCTGTGAGAAATCTTCTGGGAAGTGCCAAAAATGACCAGCAGAATGGAGAGATAGCAAGTGGTGTAGCTGTAGGTCTGTAGGTCCTTCAGCGTTTGACTCTGTTTTCAGTTGAAGTGCACATTTTATTGAAGATCACCCAGAGAAACCTAGGGGGGATAATCTTGTGACCTGGGCTTGTGAGCGTGCAGATAGTCACATGTTGTGCTGTGCAAATGTTGAGATTTTGCTCAGAGCTGTAGGAGGCTTTAGGACTTCATCACTCCCAGAAGAGACCTTCAGCCTCTCAGAAGCAGCAGCCAATTCTGGCTCAGCTATTTCAGCGTTCTGGTGCTGCTCCATGGTTCATGCACAGCTCCAGAGCTGCCTGGCAGAGGCAGGCTGCCTGCTTTCTGAGCGTGCTCACAGTGGATTTGTTCCAGCTGTGCTCGAGGGTTTATTTAGTGCTGTCTGTGTTTGTTGTGAGACGTGCACTAGACAAAATCCCAACTAGGAGTTCTGGAGGGGGATTTTCTGTTCACACACAGATAGTTGGCAGTGAGAGGTGAAGGGGCTCTCCTAGGGCTGCTGGGAGCTCCAGTGCCCTGCACGGGCTGGTGTGGCTCCTGATGGCTCACACTGCATTTCGCTGCCAGAGCACATCTGCAGCAGAAGTCAGGCACAGCCTTCTGCCCCAGCGTGGTGCCTCTTATTAACCCCCCTGCTGCCACTCAACTTGTCCCCGCAGAGCCACATGCAGTACAGTCAGACTGAGGTAGAGGGGTGGGTGGATGTGGAGTCATCTTCAAACATCATGGGATGTTCTGGTCCTTAGAGAGAGTATGACAGGAGAGAGGTTCATATTTGAGCAGATGCTGTGCTGAGTGGGATCCCCAACCCCTGCTGCAAGCAGAGGGTACAAATGAGCCTAGGAACAACAGCCCTCCCAGGCTGTGTTTTGGGGCTGAACATTCTGTTGGTGCAGTTTTGATGTTCTGGGTCAGTTTGGGCTATGGTATATTTTCCTTGTGGGTATTTCTAGGCTGGTACTTAAAGAAGCTGATTTAACTTAACATGTGTTGTTCCAAGGATGAACCTCAGTTTTATTTCAATTCAGAGTGAGTCAGATCTTGAACTCAGGGTGCCTTAATGACTTTTCAGCTGAACTGAGTTTGAGTGTTTGAGATGGCTCAGCTAGATTTGCTAATCCTAATGGAAATGTTCTCAGAGAAAGATAAAAAAGCTTAAGAGCTCTCTCTGCCTTTTCTTTCCTTACTGGAAGCCCCAGTAATGAGATCAATAAGTGAACCTCGTAAGACATGTCCAGCATCGCTCTTGGGCAAGGGCTGAGCTTGGAGCAAATGTGATTTAGCAGAAGATGCAGTGTGCTCTGTAGGCCTGGTGTGGGACAGCCTGCTTGCAAAACAGAAAGCCATCCCTCTGCACTGAGCTGCACAGAATGGGGGAGGCTGGGGCCTGAATGGGGCCCTGTGGGAGGCTGTTATTGGGATATGAGTTTGATCCTAGCATCTCCATTCCGAGAGCCTTGCTCAGCTGCTGGTGTCCCATGTAGCTATTCATCACCAACAGTCAGTTCCTAGAAGCCCCAGCCAAATGATCAGCATACTCACAAGTGCATTTCTGGTTGCTCCTACTTCAGAAAGAAGACATCTCTGTGCTCCTCCTGGCTTGTGGGCTTGGCACTGAGCTAGAACCAATGGACTGCAGGTGCTGAGTGCTCCACAGTGCAACACCACACCCAAAGCACAGAGGGCTCCTGTATCCGCTTTGGGTGCCCTGGTAGGATTTTGGTGCCCAGAATGGTAAATCCAGTCCCAGCTAATTACATCCAATTGTTAGAGCTTAAAGTAGAATACAGAGAACAGCTACAGCTGAGCACTACAGTGGAGCTGTGTTGGATTGTGGGCTTAAGCCTGCCTTGCCCAACAGGGCAGGTCCTTTTTGTTAGCAGCATAGCTTGTAGGAGTTAAGCAAGCGGGGTAAAGTAAGCATCTGTTTGCCTGCAATTAGTTTGAGGTGTTATTGCTCCACATTTCTGCCTGTGTACGGATCAGTCTTGTGTTATTTCTGTATGTTATTGAGCGGGGATGGTGGCCAGCTCCTGGGATGTACAAAGGGTAACCCTGGGGGTGCCGAGTTAAGCTGCAGGGTGCTCGGCTGAGGGGGAGGTCTGCAGCACAGCACAGACAAGGCAGGGCTGAGCCGTGTTGTTAGCAAATACCTGACCTGAGCTGACCCCATGCTCCCCGACCCCTGCTGCAAGCAGGGGGTACAAATGAGCCCAAGAACAACAGCCCTCCCAGGCTGTGTTTTGGGGCTGAACATTCTGTCGGTGCAGTTTTGATGTTCTGGGTCAGTTTGGGCTATGTTGTGTTTTCCTTGTGCTGTTTTGTTCTCCATGTGCAAACAAGTCCCTGGTATTTCGTGTCAGTAGGTCACCCTGGGAGGGGCGAGCCTCCCCCCACAGGTCCTCTGCACTGGGGGCTCACACCTCCTTCTTCCATTGGCTTCCAGAAAGCAAAGCGAGCTGACAAGGCGTGAGTGTCTCTGTAAAACTCTGCTGTTTTTACACTTCTAGCAAGATAAAAATGTGCCCTAGGTGTGAAGCAGAGGTGCCAACTCCAGCCCTGTGATTTACCATGCAGGCTGGGAGCATCAGCCAGGATGGGGGGGGAGCACTGCTGGGCTGCAGGGCAGCTGGGAGTCCGTGGGACCGTCTTGTCTTTCCCTCCCCACTTATGCAACTTTCTGTGCACCCAGCTCTGCCTGTGTGCCGCCTTCCCCTGCCTATGCTGGAGCTCAGAGCTTTTCTGAACTGTTGCTCCTGACGAGCACTGGACTGAGAGCTCCAGGCCTGGGGAGCCAGTTGCTGCCTGTGAAAGGTCTGTGTGCCTTCTTCCCCTGCCTTACATGGTGATAGGAAGATGGATGGAGATGAGTTGGTTCACCGGTTGGTGCTCAGTCTTAATGCTTGTTATATGTTCGAGGCATTTTTTTTAATGATACAGCACCTTCTGAGAAGCAGTTCTGTTCCATCCAGCTGCCTGCTTGCTGCCAGCGTAGGCTGTGCTTTCCAGGCAGTGGCTGGGACTGCACAGTGCTTTGCTTCTAGGATAGGGCTCCACGCAGCAAATGCTTACAGGAAACAGGGCAGCAAGAGAACAGCAGATAGGAAATGTCCCAGAGCCTGCCAGCACATCCTGGAGGTAGGGGAAACCTCCAGACAGCAAAACAGGATGGCACTGGAGTGTTTCCATTCAGTTGACTCATGCTGAAACAATGCCCGGGTGCTGTTTGTCTTGGACAAACGTGTTTCTGTGAGCAAAGAGATCTCCTGGCCCTCCTGCAATGCACGTGCTAGGATTTAGTTGTTGCAGAGGCAGTGCTTCAGCCTGCAAAGGGCTGAGTACCTGCCATTGTGCCCTGCTCCAAAGGAGTATAGCACATCGAGTGTGGTGGTGTGGTATTCTAGGCTCTTGTCTGCAAGCTCCTACTCCCTCTCGGGATGCAGACAAAACCTCTTCACAGCACTAACAGACATCTGCTCTTGTGCCTGCCTTGGCCAGGACTGGGACCTCATGCTTCAGTGAGGGAGGTTTTGATGGAAAGATTAAAATCTGCATCTGATGTTTGTCTAATCCAAAAGGCTTTCTGTGCAAGGAAGTGCTTCTGCACAGTCATAATCTTAATTTAAAATCCTGTTGTCCCCTGCAGCATTTCAGCTACTGAAGCATGCTGGCAGTGACCTGCTTACCAGACTGCAAAGGGCAGGTGAAGATGCTGTTCTTAAATATTTATGTTGTGCTGGGGCTTCAATGCCAGATTCTGAACAAATTTTGAAGCCCAGACTCTCTTGTGCTCTGGTGCTGGCAGCTCTGCTAAGGAACATGCAGGCAGATGTTGCATATGCATCCTGCCAGCAGGTTGTCAAATGGACAAGCTAGTCACTGTTCTCAGGACATGTACTGGATGTATTTGTGATCTGAAGAGCAGCCTGGCAGCACACCTGAGACTCCTGAGAAGGTGGTAGGGTCTGCAGGGTAGGGTAGGGCTTGTCTCCTTGAGCTGGTGCTGCAAATGCCCCAGTAGCCGAGATGCTGAGGCCCCCACTTGGCATAGCTTAGAAGGGAGTACTGGGTTCTGATGCCTCTTTAGAGGTCTCAGATCTTCCCAAGTCCAAGGGACTGGGGCTGGAGAGGTCACTGCTGTCTCCATTTCTCCTCCTTGGTGAAGTTATCACTGCTGGCCCTGGTAACAAAAAGACATTAAAGATGAAGGCATCTTGGAAATCAGCAGTGCTGGAAATTAAAGAAGTTCTTCTTGCAGGAAAGAATGTCTACATCAAAGGACACCTACTGACTACAAAGGACTGACACTTGAATCCTTTTATAGCTGCAAGGCCATTTGTCTTTGCTTCTGCCTA